CAAAATTATTTCATGAAAGCCTACATATCCCCGATATTTAAATATAAATTGATATACACAGGCCCAATTTCGCCACCACACTCCTGCTGACGCTTCATTACAGGACACTCATCGGCCCATCGCAACGGTTGAGAGTCATAAAATTGAAAATATTTATTCATGGCATTGGGCGAGAAAATGACTTCATTGAAATTGCTTCTCCATGTATCATTAGATTTTTGTAGACTGTTCAATTCAGAACTTTCATTTTCATTTCCATTGGAAAGTGAAACTAAAATCTCTGAAGCAAAATAAATATAGTTTGAAAAAACTAAATAAGACGCTTTAGAAATCATCGAACTAAAAAGTAAAATATATTTTTCTAAATAAACTTGAAACAATAACAATCGAAAAATACAAGTATCATTATGGAAAAAGGGTGAACGCTTGATATACAAAAAATATGGCACAAAGCGCCCACGCTTTTTTCACAATAACACAAGTATTTTTCGATTGTTATTGTTTTAAGCTTATTAAAAAAATTTACCTTTTCAGTTCGATGTTCTTTAAAAGCGTGGTTTTTAATTTTTTCAAACAATATTTTTTTTACTTTTCAGTTTCATATGCTATAAAAGCATGTTTTTCAGTTTTTTTAACTATATTCGTTTTGCACTTTTTCGTCCGATTTATTGTGAAAAAGTATCCGCGGCAAGTATCAGCACAAACTTCGACAGATCTGGTCATCGGAGCTGTCGGGGAAGAACAAAGTTGCTGCAACAAATATGCTTGCCGTTCCAATCTTACTCTACTCGTTTGGAGTAGTGAAGTGGACTCGTGAGGAGCTGTATCAACTCGACGTACGGACCCGAAAAATGATGCATCTCTATAGGAGTTTAATAGGGCCTGACCAGCGCACACTACGGTGAAAAAAAAAATAATGATAATAATAAATGAATTTATTCACAGCTGAAATAAAATGATGCAATATGGAGAAAAACAAAATACAAATTTGTCAATAGGATATATGATTGAACAGAGTTCATTCTTCCTCTTGCACCTTACAAAAAAAACGAAAAAGATGAAAAACAAAAAAAATAAATAACAAAGGACCTCAAATAAAATTTTAATTGTGATAGCGGGTACAACATTCAGTTCATGAGGCAGATATCGATACAAACATAAGGATACTACAAATATTTTAGCTATGGCTTACAAGAGCCAATGTGTCATGGAATATATTCGGGTATTATTGATTTTTCAGAAGGTGTTTTTTCAGGCAGTACCTGAAACTGGAAACAGATTTCGACCGAAAGGAAGGTGGTAGGTTGTTATACAATTCAGCTAACGAATATGTAAATGACCTTTTGAATAGTTCTATGGAGTGTCTAACAACATGGATCATTTTGTGCCTGATGTTCACAATATGAATATCAGTTCGAAAAGTTATTTTGTTATAAAGGTAGGGAGGTGTTCTATTGACAATAACTTTATGAAATAATGTCGAAGAATGAAGAGTCCGCCTATCGTACATTTTCAGCCACCTAGCTTTTTTGAGTGTATGAGAAATCGGTTCTCTTTACTTGATACCGTATGAAAATCTCAAACAAGAGTTTTGAACTCTTTGAATTCGTTGTTGCTCATGTTTATTCAGAAAATAATGATACACTATGTCACAATGATTGAAAATAGATAATATCATCAACGAATCACAAATGAGTAATTTGGTTTTTAGGCTCAAGACATGCCTATGAGGGTATAATACTTTCATTTTCCCAAATGCTCTTTGAATCAATGTTGAAGTATGTTTTTTGAATTTGAGTTCATCATCGATACAAACTCCTAGATTTTTAACCTGATTTACAACCGGTAAAACAGTGTCATCAATTTTTGTGATTAGATCTCTATGTTTTGACCTTGCGACTTTTCTTCCAAATACAATCATAGAGCATTTGGAATTATTAACTTCCAGGGCATATTTCCTCGATACATTAACGAATTGATTCAAATCGTCATTAATGATATTTTCGCTTTGCTGTACAGAGTCAGCAGAGTAAATTATGTACAGGATAGGTCCAAGGCTTGAACCCCTGACATGTGGTTCTCCACTATAACAATTTGTTGTCTATGTGAAAGATATGAATCGAAAAATTTCAAAGTGCTTTGACTAAGTCCATTATAATGTAATATAAATCGAAGTAGTTGATAATTCAATGTATCAAAAGCTTTGCTGAAGTCGATCAATAGTTGTTGTGAAGTTTGTTTGGAAGTAAAGAGAAAATTTGCCGTAATAATTTCAAAAAACAATTTACTCTGGATGTTTTGATGTTACGTACAGCGCCATCTGCCCGCCAATAGTTCAAGCAATAATGTCGATGTTACGTACAACGCCATCTGTCCGCGAATAGATCAAGCAATAATGTAGGTGTTAGTTACAGCGCCATCTACCCGCGAATAGATCAAGCAATAATGTCGATAATTCAGGTGTATAAACAGGTGAAAAGGTATTAATATAAAGTGTGTAATGATAAACCGTTTATTTTAAAAAAATATTTAAAAAGCGACGGGCGCTTGATATACAAAAAAAAATATGTCACAAAGCGCCCACGCTTCATTCACAATAATACTAGTATTTTTCGATCGTTATTGTTTTGAGCTTAGTAAAAAAATTGTTTTCAACTTCTTAATTCGATGTTCTTCAAAAGCGTGTTTTTTAGTTTTTTTCAAACCATATTTTTTTTTAACTTTTCAGTTCGATGTTCACTAAACGCGTGATTTTTAGTTTTTGAAACGAAATTTATTTTTTACATTTCAGTTTCACATGCTATAAAGCGTGTTTTTTAGTTTTTCAAACTATATTTATCATTTTGATTTTCTTTTGAACAACCTATCAAGGAGATTACATATAGCGCCATCTACCCGCGAAAAGAACAAGGAATATGAAGTAGGTTACGTACAGCGCCATCTGCCCGCCAATAAATCAAGCAATACTGTAGATAATTCTGTCAATACAGATCCCGAGTTCGAGAGTTACAAACATACATACATACATACATACATACATACAGGTGAAGCTAATATAGAGTCGTTAGAGAATCATCATCCGATGCAAAATATTTTTCGAATAGCCACCTGGGTCACCACATCTTATCCACCTCGATTTTTTTCCATAAGGACACTTCAAATTTGTTGTTTATCAAAATACCACCAGATATTCCAGAAGGTTCGCGATGCAGATGTATAGATTTCTTGTAGACACGAAGATAACAATTGAATTATGTTGACTGGTTCAAAAGGTATCAATATTTTGGCAGTACCAAAGATAGGTGCAGTTATTGTGCTTTGCGAACAGTGTAATTTTTGTCATTATTTAAGTCTTGTTAGAAATGGTTTGATCAATACTCGGCTACAGACCGTCATCAAATCATCTAATGAAACAATTTGTTCAGGCCAGTCTCAAATCTACACTGTAGGTTAATGGACTAACACCTATCAGAAATAAACTACTCCCCTGGCTGATATCACGAAGGGCATTGGATTACATCTGACAGGTGTCAGTGAAGCTTTCTTCAGTGAAGTTATTCCTGCATATGCTGTTGGCGATACATCTGCCGCAATAGATTTTCAATTGTTGGAACACACGTACAGACCGGTATCGGGCTGTTTGGCCACTCGTCAGTGCAAGGTAGTGTCTATCATCAACACACAGTCGATGAGAAATTTGATCGATTCCTCGTATGACCTACATTGTAGGTTTATGAACTGACACCTATCAGAAAACAAATACTTTCCTGGCTAACACCACGAAGGGCATTGGATAATATCCAAATATTTTTTTATTTATTTTCAAGATAATTTTTTTGGGAATTTGAAGGAAATGACTCTGCCCGAGATACTCCTCACAAATGAATGTCATTTTGAAATATTTCTGGTATGAGTTGAGCAAAATATGATATTCTACTTGCGAGACATCGTCATTACTCGCTTGAATGATTAACGATGCTCATCTTCAGCTCACGCTGACAAGCTTCATTCTCATGGGTAATGACCACATTTCTCACTCGTCGAATAATATATTACTATTATTTGTAGTGGGACATTAACGTGCCCTGAACAACTTTTCACATTGCCTTTCAAATGAATTAACTGAGAAACTGAATAATGTTTCCAAGGACAAGACAATTTTTGAAATTATAGCGAGGATGGAACATGTGGATTATATTTTCTAATTTCCTGAATTGTAATCGAAATAAAACGCTGAAGCCTATAGTGTACTTTATTTAATTACAAATTTTACCTGAGTTTGAATGGAGTACATGAGATTCATATTCCTAGGTTGTGTGAAAAATATACAATGCAGCTATAAAGTAAAAATAAATAAAGATATAATCTAACTTATTCTAAGATGATGCGAAAAACACTGATGAAGGAAAGTATGGGTATCACTTCAGATGAAATTGAAAAATCGAAATACCAGCTACTTTTGTTTATATGAACACTGCTTGAAATAAATTGGAAGGGTTTTTTTGTGATGTTCAATTAAAAAAAAATTCTGCCTTTCTACTACTCCATTTTGATAAAAAAGTGGGAATCTTTCGAGAAAATGAAGGAGGCATTCAATTTGAGAAGAAGTAACTTTCAACATAGACGTGAACATTATGCAAAGAAGTAACTTTTAGACACAAGCTGGAAGAAAAAGCGCACCTGAAACAGCTACTTTCAAATCAAGATTGATTTGAAATTTGTTTTTTTGTTTCTCAAACAAATAATTTTATAAGAACACTGGATTATACAAAACACACTTTTCTCTCTTCAGTTTGTGTTCTGAACATTCGTTATGGAATTGAATTAAATATCATTCAAATGAACTTTTTACCGTTTCATTCAGTATATTGTGTAGGATTCCTGTGAATGATATCTGATACAAATTTAATATGAATGTTTAGAATACAAACTGAGTAGAGAAAAGTGTTTTTTGTATAATTCAAAAATCATATAAACGTATTATTCTGAAAGAATTTTTCTTTCGTGTAATTTAATGTTTATATGAAAGTAGCTGTTTCAGGATTGCTTTTTCTTCCAGTTTGTGTCTGAAAGCCACTTCTCTGCATCATCTCAACATCTGTGTACAGATTTACCCCTTCTGAAATTGATTGCTTTCAAATTTTTTTGGAAGATTCCCGCATTTTTTTATCAAGAAGGATAAGTAGACTGCTGAAAAGATTCTTTCCCATTGTTTGAAATATAATTGACTATGTCAAATGGAATATGTTGCTCCAAAGTACTAATTGAATGAAACACACCGATACTTGATAAAATTCCATATCAAAACTCACTATCACTGTTCACTGTGAGATTCATAGTGAATTCACAGTGAACTACGTTAGTGATTTAGAACTAATAATGGTGATATATTGAAACGGATAGATGTAATATACAATATTTGACAAAGAAGAATGTCAATGTGTATGAATAAATTGTGGAAGATGGAATTCAAATAATCTGTAAAAAATTATGGCCTGAAATAGAAAGATGAAATTGATTATGATGATTTTATGGATATTATTGAAAAACAGAATATCAATAACATTCGATTCACTTTCCAGTAATTGATATCTAACATCTCTTCAGTGGTGTTTGAGAGTTGCAAATTTTTCAGGAAAGTGGAAATCGAAACCTTGATCACTACCTGAAATATTTTCATCCATCAACTAGAATACCATGCAATTCCATATGAAGCGATCCAAAGTTTGTCTAATCTGTGATACATTTTTCTGAGAGTCTCTAAGTTTTCACACTTCATAAATACTCAATAGCAAATGGCTACCACGGGGATTTGCTTAGAATATATTATATCAATGAACTTTCACTGAAACGAAAAGTTCTACACTTTAATTTCTTTCACTTTCAAGAAATAATTATCTTCTATGTGAGATCCTTTTGGATACTGCGATCCTTGGTCACTGTCTGTCAAAACTCCATGTTATGCTGAGAAGTCGTCATTGGAGAAAGAATCAGATCTGGACCTGAAAATAATAATATGGATCAGTACTGTTTTCATAGGACACTAACAATGATGCGTCATCCGCACGGTGGAAATAATGTGGGATATAACACCCTTCAGTTATGGCATCCCATATTGGGAATTTTCAGTCATTTTTAGGAAATGTGTGTTGATAGATGACTGGGTGAGAATGTATACGATCGTATGCTATTTTGATTTTATCAATTTTAAGAATAGAGGTCTGGACTTTCTCAAACCAGAAGAGAAGTTTCATGCAGGAATTCAAAGGACATTTGCACATTATTTCATTTCAATTTCATAGAGTTGAGGTAGAATACTTCAATTGTAGTAAATTATTAATAGCAAAAGGTACATTCCGAAAGCAAATTTTTCACCTCGAGAAATAACCTCAGTTTTCAAAATCAATAACGCGGATATGAAACACTTATCTCTAATAGATAGCTACTTGATTTGGGAGTAAAAGGAAAGCGAGTAGTACATTTGCAGTTTTGACTTCAATCATAGTATCATAATTCTCAAACAGTAGAGAGACTGTAAAAATATACCATTCCGATTCGAAAATATAAGTAGTTACTGTACATATTGCCAAAACAATTTTTTTATAGAAAATGTAATTTGGCTTGCTAAATACATTTTTCCAGATGCTTACTAGAATCGTAATGTATTTTTTAAATAGAAAATGTGACATGGTAGAATCTACACATAACTCAATAATCTGAGTCTGCTACCATATGCATACAAAAGCACAAATAATCTCATTTACGAATTTTCTTTCACCTCCACAAATTGGATCACGAACCCTGAGGGTGTTAGGAAGGAACTTTATCTGAATAGGAAAACATTCAGGCCTTGTTTCCAATCCAAAGTGGTATAATAATGTGTCACGGCTTCTTTGCAGAAATCTGTTGAATACCTTTATCACTACATAGTATAAAACAAGGTCGCTTTTCTCTCTCCGTCCCTATACATGCTCAGATCTCTAAAACTACGCAACGGATTTTGATGCGGTTTTTTCAGTAGATAGAATAATACAAGAGAAAGGTTTTCACGTGTATAACATGAAGAAAAAGTGGAAAAACAATGATAATTTTTAGAGATTTCTAATGTTATATCGTGATAAACATATTTTTTGTGCTCACAATTCAAACTCTGGCTGAACCCTACGAGGTAGATCAAAATAATGTACATTAAGCGCCAAACGTGATGGCTAGCCCATCACCATGTGCTAAAACTCATTTTCAATGTAACCCTGACCATAGTTCTTGCAAAACATACAAATGCTCTGTACAGAGGCGAATCATTACTTTTCTTCTGATGCTGTTGGCGTTTGGTAATGTCTGAATAATTTTTGTTGTTTCTGAAAACAAGTCATCGCCTAACAAAAAAACCATTTATCAAGAGTCAGACACGTGAAATAATTTTTGAAAAGGTTCAATCATTTTAAACGTGTTAAATGTGAGTCGGTTACGTTATCAAATGTGGAAAATGAAACAACCAAGGAAGAAGCGGCCTAGAAGAACATCAGTAACTGATATTTCCAAAAATGAGTATTCCAATATTAGACAGATTATTTACGATTTTCATAAGACGGAAGGGTGACGTATGACGGTAAAAAAGTTTCAACTCAAAATTAATGACGTTTTAGGAATTGTGGCTTCCGAAACATCTCTTCGTAGAATTTGAAAAAATAGGTTTCAAATGGAGTACTGAAGATAATAGAAAAATTTCAATAGAGGAAATGGACATTAGAGCTTTGAGGACCAAATATTCACAAAAAATCAATTATTATCATAGCCGTTAAAATATTCAAGTGACGTATTCCTGAGACAATTTTACGAAAAAAAAGTCTATATTAACTTGTGTCCGAAAATGCTTTGTTTCGGAGATACGGGGTGTTGAAATTAAATTTTATTGTTTTGAAAATAACTTTTGCAAAAAATAAGTTATTTGCACGAAATTAGGAACCCTGGGTTTCTTTGACGTGAGAAATCTTAATTTCGTATTGATTTTCATGTAACATCTAGAGGGCGCTGCGTACGCTGTCATTATTTATTTCAAATTGCCCTAACTTTTTTACAGTGAACTTTTGGTACTTTTCATGGAAAAACATAATTCCCACACCTTTTCCAAGTAAAAAAGGTAAACCACATCGACAACGCTGAAGGTGATATTTACAATCTTCTATATGGATGCATGTTACTCAGCTCCTAGGCCGCTGAGTGAAGTTGCAGAGATCATTACAAAAACTAAGTATGTAGTGGATTTCGTCAAAATAAACAACTTTTTCCTATAAAATATTCAACGAAGAATGATTTGTTGTCGAAATACAGATTGTGGAAATTTTTCAAAACCTGGTAGATTTTTGTCATAAGTTTTTTGCAATTTTAGTTATTTTCATCAAACTTTATAAGCAGTTCACCCATACAGACTTCTTCTAAACTGAGCATTATCGAACTGCTTATTCAATCCAAATTGAAAGAATTTGTCAGGTTCATTTATTCAATTAGAAAGTGCTACATTTCGGAGTTTGTGAAAAAATAATTCGTAGAAGTACTATAATAATAATAATATTACCTAATAATAATGGTCTTTATTGGGTGAAATACAATATAACTGCAGTGTAGAACACTACTGGTTTGTTCCACCACTCAACCTTCATATCCAGCTACGAGAACTGGCAATTAAAAAACAATAAAACAAATACAAACAAAAAAAATGGTAAAAGTAATACATTATACACCTGATATCAATCAGCATTCCAATAACAACAAAANTTAATTAACTTAATTTGCAAGCGGAGAGTGACAAAAGTTATTGAAATCAATTTTGGCTATAAAGTAATATGTATCGATATACCTAGAAAATTGTGAATATCTCGAAAACGGTCACCTCCAGCGTTGTTGAGGAGGTGTACCTTTTTTACTTGGAAAAGAAGTGGGAATTAGGTTTTTCCTTGAAAAGTATCAAAAGTTTACTGTAAAAAAAGTTAGGACAATTGGAAATAAATAATCACAGCGTACGCAGCGCCCTCTAGATGTTACATGAAAATCAATACGAAATTATGATTTTCCACGCCAAAAAAACTCCAGGTACCGAATTTCGTGCAAATATCTTATCATTTGCAAGAGTCATTTTCAAAAAGCAAACAAAATAATTCAATTTCAACACCCCGTATCTCCGAAACGAAGCATTTTCATACACAAGTTGATATTCAGTTTTTTCTTAGAATTGTCTCAGGAATGCGTCACTTGAATATTTTAATATACTTATGTTACACCCTGTATATGTATGAATTTGCTTGTTATGGAAAATCAAAGTAGGTAGACCTTACGAAAAAATTGAAGAAATATGCGATAATATAATGTTGCGTATTGATAAGGGAAGTCTTACTTGCTCATAAAAAATGTTTGTTCATATTCACATCATGATTATAATATATTAGCAATCTGCCCTGGCTCAGCACGGGTGCAATGCTCATTCTGAATATAAATTCACTCTCCAGAAATTCAAGGACATGGAGAAACAGTGAGGCGCCCTACTTGGAATATTCAAAAATCCTTTCTCGTTGCACACTTACAATATAAAACGCTACATACAGTGCCTTCATTTCAAAACTTCCCACCCCCAGTACTTCGTTTAGCAGGGAAAATCTGCCGTAGGCAAAAAACACGTCAATTTAGATACCAAGGGGGAAGTTTAAAACCAGAGCCAGTGGTATTTTAGGTTTAACCCCTTACCCCTAGCAATCCCCACTTAATAATTTTAAATGGCACCCCCTATCTTGTAACACACCATTTTAAAGATTTTAAAAATCCTCACTCAACCCTGGTTAGAAAACTTAAATTGGTTGATCTGTTCTCGTAACCACTACCACTGACTGAATAACGGTATGTTTACGTCTCTTTTTTACACAGAGTTTTTTGCTTTATCTGAAAGTGAGATAAGGGCACACAGTTGCTTCTTGGCGTCCGTTACAATTGAATGGTGAAAACATTTATCAGAATTAGTTATTCCTGATTTCGAACTGTTTGTCAAATGGTGTCAGTTGCACTGACAGTAATACAAATCGTAATGATGTACACTTCACAAGAAAGAACTGAAATTATTTTTATTTACAATGCTGAAGATAGGTGTGCTCGTAGGACAGCCCGGGTTTTTAATGAAAGGCATGCAGGCCAAAATGTGAGTCACCGATATGTTCTAGACCTTTTTCAAAAATTTGAGACCGGTTCTGTGTGCAACAAAGCAGTAAAGTAGCCGAGAGTTCTTACGGAAGCCGCACAGATTGAGATTTTACGCCAATTCGCCGTTGAGCCTACTACTTCAATTTCGAAAGTTATTAAATATTTCAGTTGGTTCTATACACGAAGTTTTGAAACTAAACAAGTTATTTCCTTATAGAATGAGTATTCTTCAGCAACTCAGTGAGAATGACTATGATAGGAGAATTGAATTTTGTGAAATAATGACTGCGAGAATTCAAAATGACCCGAATTTAATAAAAAATATTTGCTTCAGTGATGAATCAACTTTTTTTCTTAATGGCTTGGTAAATAAGCGGTAAATTTAGAATAAGGTGTAAAGGTGACCTAGTGAATAAATGCTTGTGTTTTTAAATAGTTTATTTGGTGATAAAGAAGGCTGAAAAGTTGCCCTATTCTGAACTTTGAAGGGCCGTAACTTTTGAAATAAGGGAGAGCGCTGCTTTTTTCTTTCGGATTCGTAATCTACGCATCAAAATACGTAAGTACAGTCAAAAATTTTTTCAAAATCGCCAGGTGTCCACAAAACGAAAATTTACCAACTAAGCACAACTGTAGATACTGGGATAATGAAAATCCACACTTGTTTCGAAAGGATCATATGCAATATCCACAAAAAATAAACGTCTGGGTTGGAATTCTGAGGAACGAACTAATTGGTCATATTTGTATTGAAGAAAATCCAACTGGTCAATTGTATTTGAACCGTGTTAGGAATCACACGTTTAAAGGTAAGACC